ATTCAAAAGTGTTTTCAAAACTGGTAAACAATGGTTATTTAATTACAACGACTTGCTCATTTGGAGGTGTGAGCCCATTGGAATATCTATTACCACGAATTCATCCAGATCTGATTAGATTGGGCATTAGAGAACGATTACAATGTCATATTAAGAATTGCCAGAAAGAAACCAATTCAATCAATAGTTACGCCAATTCAAAATATCAAGATATCAAAAAGAGAGTTCAGGATTGTGGAGGATTGGCAAATATTGGAGAGGATCTTGCAATTGAATATATGCAGTTTATTGGAAAGGATGGTGGTGTATTGCGTAGATTATCTAAATCTTTGATTAATGACAGAAGTTTTGTGTTGAAAGCTGTTGAGATTTGTCCTGTTGACATTTTCGCAGCTCCTGATCATTTCCAGAATGATAGAGAGATAGTAATCACAGCATTACGCAATGATGCATGGATATTGGAAAATTTGGAACATGCATTTCAGTACGATGAGGAGATATTTGAACTTGTTGCACGAACAGATTTGGCAGCTCTAATGTTTGCTTCTGAACGATTAGACAGTTGTAGGTAATGGACATTTGTTGCTCTGACCAAAAATTTTTTACAAGTCTAAAAGGCTTGGCTTGGGGACAACAAAACGGGACATGAAGAAAATTGTTGGAGGACAATGTTATTTCTCAAGATGTTGTTGTTGTTGCACCAATAGTGAAATCCTGTGTTGGAAAACAACCAAAAAGTGAAGAGAGGTACTTCATTGTTGAAAGTTTGGTTTTTTTTGTTTGATGAAACTAAAGTTTATTTTGATGAAAGTGTAACGTCTTCTTTCGTGGCGCCAACTAATGTAACGGTTTATTCTCGACTTGTAACATTTTTTAAAATCACAAGCGAAAAATGGCTGGAGTTTCGACTTGGCCAAAAAATTTTTGGGGACAAATTTTATCTACCTACAACTGTCTATGAACGATTGAGGAATGATACTTCTTTTATAATGAAAATGTTTCGTAAAATTGCACAAGATAGTTCGATGGACCATATGAGCGAAAGAGAAATTGCTATGCGTATGGTCAAGATGAATGGTTTATCTCTTCAGTTTCTCAATGAGGAATACAGAGATGATTTCGAAATTGTTACTTGCGCACTGAATAATCATTGTCACTCTCTTGCTTATGCTTCTGAGAGAATTAGAAGTGATCGAGATTTTATGAAAAAAGCAATTGAGAAGTACAGCGTTGTTTACTCGTATGCTTCGGATGATTTACGAAATAATGATGTTGAACTTGCTTTGATTAGTATAAGGGGAGGGAATTGGATTCCTGTTGAGCATGAGATGAACAGACAAGTTGTAAAAGAGGCTGTGAAAAAATCAGCATTACAATTGACTAGAGTTCCTGATGAATTAAAAAGTTGTGCACCATTCATGTTTGAGATTATCAATGAAACCACTGAACCAATTTTGAAATATATTACAAACGAATTGAGATTTTCTCAAGATTTTGTATTGGAAGCAATCAGGATAAGTAGCAATAATGTGCTAGATCTTAGGAATGCAGAAATGGATAATAAGGAATTTGCGAAAAAAGTTGCTCAACTAACTGGCTACACATGTACATATAGAAACGACCTATATGAAGCAAGAATGGAATACATGTTCCATGGAGCAAAGTGCTAAAATAATGTAACTC